AAAAACTTATTGCATTTCAACGTCAGTAAATGCAAGGTGCTTTCCATCCGACATCAAAACAGCTACTCATACCGAATCGGAACGGATGTACTGCAACAATCAACTCTCGAACGTGACTTGGGTGTCCTGGTTCAAGATGACTTGGGTTGCTTCAGGCAATCCGAAAAGGCCTCGAAGACCGGGAACCAACACGTCGGGCTGTTGAGGCGGACGTTTGGACAAATAAACAGCTCCATATTAGATGGTAATTGGGTATTGCCCACCCGAAAACACTGCACAGCCACGACGCGTTTCGATGTAATTTCATCTCATCAGGTGGAGACAGCAGGCTTTGAACCCACGACCATTGGAATAGCAGCCCACACTACTACCCCTTTGGTTACCGGGTCACGATGGGCAACGCTTTTTGTCACAACGGTAAATGACTAATTGGAGGGTCAAGTTTGGATTACACGTTGTGTGATTGGATTGCGACACGCAACCTCAATGTAATGGACTGTGATTCACATTGAACTGAATACGGTCCCAGCGATCGCAGTGACTAAGGTTCATTTCAATGTGAATCACTGTCCATTAAATTGAAGTTGCGTGTCGCAATCCAATCACACAACGTGTAATCCAAACTTGACCCTCCAAACAGCTCCATATTTCGACAAATGCCCAGTGCGTATGTTCGCCCCCATGTCGAATATGCAATTCAAACCTGGCATCCATGGCTGAAACACGACCTTAATGCACTGGAGCAGCCACAACGCCGGGCATCTAAGAACGTAATTAGAATGCGCAATCTTTCCTACCAGGAGAGGCTGCGACGACTGGGATTGTTCAGTGGAAGTTATTGCAGACTACGAGGCGACCTGATTATGGCATACTTGATTCTGCGAGACCCACATCATGTGTGCCGCCCCTTCACTGCGACTCAGCAGCAATACAAACCTGAGGGGCCACTCATTAAAACTCGCAGAACAATACAGTCGTCTGGAGTGTCGCAGAAATTTCTTTTCTATCCGTATCTGTCACCCGTGGAATGCTCTCCCAGAATCGGTCGTCTCTGCACCGACACTAACAGTATTTAAAAGACGGTTGGACGATGCACTCATTTACTTACACTTTGTTACTTAACACTACGTCTCCATCCTACACCTGGAGTTTACCATGGAATTATTTGTTAACTGTGGATGCTGTGAATCTAATAGGATCGCAGGACTGCAGCGAAGCAAACGATAAGTCCTTATTTTCGTATTTAAAGTATTAACTATTTTACTATCCTTATCATCATTATTGTTATGTTGATATCCTCTGCAACTATCCAACGGGACTTGTAAAGCAACACTTCTTAACCCGTATAAATTCATTGTTCATTGTTCATCCATAGTTACTGTCCATGGGGCGAAGTAGTTGATCACCTGCTTTGATTGATACTTCTCACATGGGACGTTTTCGAAGCGGCCCACATCCGGTAAAAGAAAAGAAACTTCAGCTGTTTCGACTATCATTGAAATTCTACATCGTGCTGGCATTCGCCATTCACCAGCGCTCTAGGGTAATTCTAATACCTCTCATCAAATTCATATACAAATTGTAATGGACTCGAAGTTTGCCTAACTTCCAATCATCAACCTCTGCTCTCACCGACTTAAAATACTGGTAGCTCTCATTGGTGCTTAGATGCTAAATTACCCACAGAGCTTGGAATGTCATTTGCAGATGTTTCGTCAGCAATCGGGGTAAAATATCCAGATTGCAAGCTTGAGCGACTTCGCTGCCATACACTAGCGTTCAAACCAATCCCCAGATTCATACCAACGGTAGCCAGACTCTACTTCATTTGACAGTGTCAGTACCTCATATGAACTGGTCATCCACTGCTGCGCTCAGTGTTGCTTCGTCGTTTACCTACATCCGTTGTGGAAAGGATTGCGACGTGAACTGTATCGTTGCAGTTCTATTTTTTACATCAGCCACATTGGTCGCAAAACTAAATTACTCAAGCTGCGCGGTCAGTGACTCATTCTGTTATTGCAGGCTGTCTTCGGATTACCTCATTTTCATTCTCGTAAGTCGTTAGTAGACAAGGTCGAGACCAATGCGCAAGCCCTTTGAACTCTTTTGTAACTCATCAGGCCACAAAGAATCCCATTCCGTTGTTTCTTCATGCTACACGAAGCATAATTGTAGTCCAACTGACGCTGCGTCCTCCGTCGTCACCGTTCGCCGAAACCAAAAGTTAATCGCGGCGAACTAAGCAACTTCCTCCGTACTTTTGTATTCTTCCTAACCATTTGCTACCAGTCTTGTCAAATCACTTATTATCCCAATTTTGGCGTTGTTTATTATGTACTATGCCTCAACGTTCGTACTCGTCTTTACAGCAATCTTTGAGTGCTTTCTCAAGAGTTGTGTCTGTGACTATAGACAACACTTTGCTGGACCATCAAGTGTCTCATAACAACAGAGTTTCCACAGCGGCTCGGCGTTTGTTTTTCTGAAGTGCGTATTCCATTACCAAAAACTTCAAAGATGCGCACCTCATTGTCATGTGGTTGGAAAGCCGAATGTGGAATATGTTTAAGTGCACCATGCCATGAATGAAACCAGCTGTGTTGTTGATGTACTGTGCTGTTGTTGATGTCTACTGAATCTTACTATCTGTGCTCACCAGCGGCCTAGTTAACTATAAGTGCGGTGTGTACCAGGTGATTCAAATGTTGGTTCATTGGCACTCGCCCGTTTTCTTGTGATGCTTTTGAGTGAATCTCGCAATCCTTATGTGGTGAACGGTGGTTTTCCAATGGTTACTCTGTGATAGAGGCCGTAACCCGCTTGTGCGATCACACAGTCTGAGTTATTGTGTTCTCCATTCAAAATATGTGACGGAATATATCAGTAGGTACACTGGGGCAAGTTGAGGCGTGTTTGGCATCAGGCTATGTAGTCTTTGGAGGATGCTAATTGTCGCCTGTACTTTCGCAGTCCTATTCAAAGGGTACTTTTGCACCGAATGCTCAATTAAACGTGTATGTTCTCGCAGGGTAAATACGAGGGCGGGCCAAAACGTTTCCGGATACGTAATACAGCGATTAGGTACAGTTGACCTCGCAATAGAAATGTAAACTGTAGTGCGTTCTGAACATTATTCAGTGATTTCAACTTACAGAACCCTATATTAGCAGCGTAGCACAGCTCAATAGTTATAAGCGTCGCTATACTCTGAGTGTAAGTATAGAACTCAGTCTATGTCACTGGAAAGCGGTGCTTTTCTATGACTACTAATGTGGTTTAAAGCAGCACCAGTGTCGAGAGATTGCGTGCTGCGTTTGGTGATGATGCGCCTTCAAGAACCACCGTGTTTAAGTGGCTTGCGGAATTCAAGCGTGGCAAGCTGTCCCTGGATGATGAGGCACGATTTGGTCGACCTGTGGAGGCCACCAGCACGGACAACATTGCTGCTGTGCCAACGACGCTGGAGGAGGCGCGGGTGACTGTAGTACAGCTGGAGAAAGTCATATGGATCTCATTAGGATTACTCCGCACCATCCTACATGAGAACCTCGGCCTCAGAAAGCTTTACGTACGCTGGGTATCCCATCAGCTCAATGAGGACTAGAAAGCAACCTGGATGGATTGGTGCCGCACCATGTTTGCCAGGTTCGGTGGCGGACATTCCAACACTGTCTGGGAGATCCTCGCTGGTGTTGAGACCTTGGTGTACGGTTTTGACCCATGGATCAAGCACTAATCTACTCAGTGGGGGGCCGTTGTTAGGGCGTGGCCTCAGAACTTCCGGCGTGAGCGCAGTGTGGCCAAGCAGATCGTGGTTGTGTTCATGGTCAAGGCCGGTCATGTGGCTATTGTACCGCTCGTACGGCAGCGCACAGTCACCAGAGACTGGTGTCTTACCCATTGTCTGCTACAAGTGCTGGAAGCTGTAGCCAAGCGTCGCCCAAGGACTCGAGCACGAGAGACCTTGCTTCACCATGACAACGCACCTGCACACAGGTCCTATGTCGTCTTAGTTTTTCAGGCTAGAGAATGCATCCAGGATGTGAGTCACCCACAGTCCAGACCTGGTTCCGAGTGACCTTTTGTTCCCAAATGTCAAGCGCACGATGCATGGAATCAGCTACGAGTCTCCAGAAGCTGTAGTAAGGGCCTTTATTGAGCTGCTTGAATGGTTACCCGCTTCGGCATGGTCCAGCCGCTTCTCCAGATGGTTTGAAAGAATGGAACTGTGCATGAACGCTGGTGGAGAGTATTTCGAGAAAGTGCAATGCTTATGTTGTTGTACAAATAAAGCGTGCCTCCGGACACTTATTGCTCTACCCTCGTATTTGTGGACAGAGACTAGGCTTCCAAGTCCGGTTACCTTCCATGGGACAATAACGCAGCTATTGCTTTATGTAATGCATTTTATAACATCTGTAAAGTTGCTACGCTACGAAAACTGTGAAAATGATGTCATGCGGACAAGCAGCCTATATGATTGACTGCATCAATTAACTGTCGCAGAAAGCTTCGTAAACGGCCTCGGCAGCCCGATTTTGTCTGTGTTGATCATTCGTCATCACCGTGTTCCCACGTGTTCCCCACACGTCCCGCATGGTGAAACGGTTGGAAGATCCGTGTGCTACGCATATTTGAGCTAAGCGTCAGTTTCACACGGGGTTCTGCTCGTTCTAATTGTCTGTAGACGCTTATCGTGTCCTCATGTTGCAAAAGTCGGGGCTGTGTTCGAAGCTGTGTGTATATGTGTGTGTGCAGTAAGGTGTTTTGTTTTTGATGCCTGTGTGCAGCGACGTCAAGAGCAGCTTCGCACACATTGATCGAACAGGATATTAAACTGAGCACTGAAGTAATCTCTCCTTAACTATACACACCAAGTGAGCAGGGTAGCCATTTGAACGTTATCGCTTGAGCCAGACCAGCGTACTACCCAAGTAGATTGACCCGATGTAAGAGACAAATGTTTTTGTGATTCCTCCTTTCTTGCGCTTTTCCAGAGAGATGAGCTGATACTTTTGCTACTTCAACTCAACCGAGAGAAGGCTAATCTTCAACGGTGGCACGATTACTTCATGCAGCAAATGGAATTCATTCGGATGGAGGGGTAAGAGAATCTCACTTTGGCTCGAGTACCTGTAACATAGCCAACATCGTACGATACTCGCGTTCGGCGTCATCGACTTACTGTTTGCAGTCGGCCAATACGCAGTTCCTCAGGAAACACTTGCAGGCCTTTTAGGGATCATAATGTAGATGTGGATCCGTCGTTAAACAAATGAGCTAGAGCGCCCACGCATTCGATTTAGTAAACGAAACTTGACAATTGGAAATTCAGTTCAACACGGATCACACCCCTGCTTGAGTTGGCGTACTGCAATTCATTCACACAACGAGGGTTTCAAAATGACCCACTTATTGATAGAATTTGATCAAATGTTGTGCAGTAGCCCTCATAACATGACATGCCACTTTCCCATCTAAATAACAACCGTGTACTCTAACATCGCTACACCATAAACTTTTTAGGCAATCATTGGGGAGAAATTCATTAGACTCCCAAATCAAACCCCATAATAGTTTACCGTATTCCCCTTGCTTCATGGACGATGTTTCACGAACCGCACGCAGCTCAAGCTCATAACGCAGTGTTGAGGGCGATAATGAGGAAAACCAGCCTGTCCGCCACGACGGAACGTGGTTCATCGAAAATCTACGTACGGTGCTTCACTTTGAACTCATCCGCTGGATGTGATCATCATCCTTCTCCATAACATTTGCACATTAGCTACACTAGCACCAAGTGACCCAAATGATTTCAACCTAGTCTATCAGTTTAAAGTTAGCTCAGCGTACGGACTTGTTCATGATAGCTTGGCGTCGCGATACGAATACAACCAATGCAAAATATTTAGCCTCAAAGACAAATGCGGCAACTTGGCTGATTAATAAGGCTATGAATTTTATATTCTATCATAACTACCATGCTACAATAGCCACCTGAAACAAACTTATTAGCTGGGCTAGCTTTCGATTCTCATATTTTTGCTTGGAACTTTCTCGATTAGTTTACTTCAACCATGAACAAAAGATAGTAACTCAAAGGCTGTTAAAGAGTTTGAACCGCTAAGTGCATTTTTATGGCACGTGAGATATGCGACCGTATGCACAAGCTATCGATCTAATAAATGCATCTGCACTTATTAAACTGACTTAATGCTGTCATACTAAGGTCATCAAGCATTAATAAAGGCCTTTTTCCTTACCATGGCTTCAGAAATGACACGAATGTCCAACAAAAGTTGGCATCAATTCAGATGGAACTAGAGGATGTTTCTGGGCAACTGAGTTTATCGGAACCGTTGGTCAAATTCCTCAGAAACATGTTACGCATGGCGGATTTGTATGGGGGTGATGATGTAATGTTTGCCAGCGAGTATCGCAAGGTGAGCGATCTATGTCCATTCATAGCTGTCCTTGTGGTTAAGTATACATACACTCATTTAACTATGCTATGCAAATCAATAGCCCCACTTACCGATGACTCACGTCCCGTTGTGCTCCACATAGTCCATTACTGCGCCTCGTCCCAAGTTGTCACCTTCGTACTGAATAGTATGATAACTGAGTTTCAGAAAGGTAAGTACGTGGTTATCGGTTATTGAGGGCCTGAGCAATCAGCCTGTTAGGTTCTGCAATCCACGCTGTAACCTAAAATACATAGACAATGTTATTGGTGAAATCACCCGAGAAATGAATTATGGAATTTTCAGTGAAACAGAAATCGAGGAGCTGACTACATTGGAATACCCCCACATGGAACACAGGCTACTTCTTCGTTTACATTAGTCATATCGGGATTACTTCATATTCCGATTTTGAAACACAATTGCTAAATATGCCAATGCTGTAAAGCCGTCTGTCACCGTTCACTGTCTAGTACCTTACTCTGCCTGAGGCTCTAATTCAACCGCAGGGAAAGAAAACATAAGTAAACACTGTTGTGAACCGAAAAACCATTATATTTATGGATCAAACATACCCTCGTAGCGACGTTGCTACCTTTCACTCCCTTGTGCGCTGTTCTCAGTTTGTCCAATTGTATATCATTGGCTCATTGGCTATCATTCGGGCCATATTTGGTCATTGCTCACGTGTGCTATGTTACCGTGACGCAATGTAATTGGCTATTTGCTCGCTTGGCCAGACAGAGACTCGCCTACGTTGAAGAGAACGAAGTTTGTCGGCTAACATCCCCTATTATACTTCAGTAACCAGGTATCATTTTAGCAGTATACATGGCGCCTCGATTTTTGGCGGCTTACACAGGAAGTCGAGGCTCTGGGAGGCCAACCCTGTCCTCTGAGCGTTCATAACATGCATGACAATATCAGATGAGCCGAGCTATATGGCAGTTAGTAATCAGTTATGGCCGTCTGCCACTGTCATCAACGGCTGTGTTCTAAGTCGCTGACTCGTAACAATGAGCTCATACCTTCGGATCCGGGAGAGTCTAGTGGCTGCACGCTACTGCAGAGGCGCACTCGGACGAAACGGCCGTCTAGAGCGTTCTTGGATATGTGGTTGCTGTCAAGCTGAGTCTAACTGTGACGAACTTTATAAAAACCACACATCTTCCTAATATTCTCTAAATCATTTCACTGTTGCTGAACAGTTACCCAGTCTGTCCAGGGCGATCGAACCTCACGACACAGTATCCATCGAGTGGAACAACCTCATGGTCCACCTCAGGATGTGACCAAATTTCTTTTAGCATTAAAATACATGCATTCGCATTTTCCTTACGCTACATAGTGGCATTGAGTTTGGCAAGTTTGCCAAGTAGCGAGCGCACATTGCTAAAGAAAATTAGCAGAATTTGCGCGTTATTAATTGGACAGCGTCCGAGTCCGGGTTACCAGCCAACACGATGTTTCCTGTGTTGTCAAAGCGTAGTTTTAAACATCGTTTGATTGTGTTTCTGACTTCGTGACCGAATGCGATATAAGGCGCATTTTTCGCAGCGTCTCTGAACAATTTCAAAAGTCGGCAGAGTAGGACAACATCGGAAAAAGAGACAAAGTTGTTATATCCGCAGTAGGTAGCGTAAAAACAGTACTCCAAGGAGAAAACAGCAACGGCCGATTTGAAAGCCTCGCATTAGATTGCACGCACACTTGGGGAGAAAAATGAAATATATTGTAACTGTCACTCCAATAATCACTCGCGTAGCTTGTTTACGACTTTCACTGGGTCAAAGAATGTACGTGATATATAGAGCAAGGCATTATTACCGTACGATGAGGTGTGAAGGAAGTTCGAACACGTGGAAGAGAAACAGAGGATTTTTAAAACTCAGTGCGCAGTGAATAAAATCGATCATTTAGTACCTTGGAAGATATATTATTGCAGTTATCAAGATGTCTGGTAATGATCAAATCAACTAAAGTATCTATAGACAGTCTGATGCATCTAAAAATGTGCTCTATCAATCGCATAAGTAAGATGTAGTCTTTCTGAAGGGGAACACAACGATCATTTCGGCACACTTGTTCTTTCATTATGTTTCGGTGGATTATCGACCTGGGGAACATGTTCCACGGTAGCGCTTCTTATAGTGTAGACCGTGACGTCGATCTGCTGGGAACACGGGACATCCACTAAACTTTGATGGGAGTTGATACAAGTCGAGTAGTTCGCGTAACCATCACAATCCTAAACGCATTTTCATAAGGAAATTAGGGCTTGTTAACGACCCCTACTCTGCAAATCGCTGCTCCACTCAGTAACACTTGCCATTAAAGCCTTACAGTTGTGTACATAAATTCCAGGAGGGGCCAACGAGACCTTGCACTGGATGGCCCAGCACATCAACTGGTTGTATGCTAATTTATGATAATGAAAATTCCTTCTTGTATCTTGATTCGGTTGGTCAATAGATTAAGGAGCCTGTAAAATATGGAATGGTATTTCCGATGTTTTTCAAGCTTTTGGCGACTATTTGACTGGAAGTATTTGCGTACACCGAACTCTACTGCCAGATGGCAGTAATCAAATTTCCAGGAGGCTAAAATAAACGCTTCGTATGGTGATAAGTACTAGTTAGTTATACGTGAGCATTTGTGACATTAGAAAGCTTTGGAAGTACCGGGATACTTTATGGTCATGGTAAGGCTACCCCGGTCGTTACACTCATTATGTCACCTAGGTTGGTGACGGCAAACCTTTGATCGAAGTTCCCATCTCGATGAGTAAACGGGCACCCTAGCAGTCAGTTAAAACTGACGGTCATGCTGTTTATCACAAGTATCTTTTCTCAGCGTTACTATTTGTCCATTCATTTAGTTAGGCCAGAACATCTACGTTGTACTTACAGCACTTATTATCCGAACGTGAGGTCGTGCCACCAAAACCAAGCCTGGATTTCGCTCGGGAAGTGGAGACGCGCGAAGTGGCCCAGGTTTTGAATGAAAGGAGGCGAGAGCGATCAAACACCGGAGCATCCACAAGCCCAAATGCCTTTTCGGATAGAACGGGAGCATTGGCAAGTTGGATCGCGCAGCCAGAAGCCTCCGGTTTAGCTGCTTCCTCTAGGATTCCCACGCCAGTATCTACGCATTGGCCAGAGACAGCTAACAATCTTCGCAGACGAGCAAGGTTAGAAGCGGAACTGGCCAGTTTGGAGGCGTTATGTGAATCACATCAATCTATCCACAAAGAGCTTCGGGATACACAAAAAAGTTTAACTAATCTGGAGAGCCGCGCCTTAATGGATTGCAAAGTGTGTTAAGAATATGTTTTGCAATATTCATTTTTCAACACGGTGTACTTTGCCTTGCACTCTTGAAAGAATTGAGTAGCAGACCGTAGTTTGTGTTTCTTGAAATTTGCTGTTATGGCTATTGAGAGCTGTTGTTGAGCGCATAGGTAGGGCAACCACCTCACTTGTTTCAGCAGGTGTGCATATTCAACATCGTGGACCAAAGAAGGACAACAATTAAGCTTGAAAATTATGTGAGCGAACAATAGGAGAATTAAGTGCTGGTTTGTTCACCCAGCTGAGCATTCGGTTTCCGAGGTTTCATCTCCACTAGAGACGGCATCTTCAGAGCATAGTAACAAATAGCCATTTGCTGCTTACCTTAGCTGCCGATATTCTGCGTTATTGGAAACTAAGAGAATTCTGCTGAAATATCCAGGTCGCAGATGGCTGAAACAAAGTTTCTTGGGCATGCTCGCTTTCAGCAGTTCCTCACCATATACTACAAATAAATGACACGAACTTAAACATTAGCAAGGTACATGGGCGTACAAGTTCAAAAGCCAAAATGGTCTGAGGAACTTATCTAGGTGATTTGCCGCAAATGGTTCAAGGGTGTGTGGTGTTTTTTTACCATGTGTTAATGTTACAGGGGGACAGAGTAGGCCAATGAACGACAAGTAGCCCCCCGTGTAGCCTTTGGTGACAGGGTAAATGGAATGGAACGCTTCGTGCGCTTTGACCTGATGGTCCGAACCACTGATCTATACAGCCGATCTGGATAAGGCTACCTCGCTCGCTTAGACAACATCCCGGTGGTTCTTCCGAGATAGCTTACTTGACACGTGCAAGCGAAACATTGCACAGCGAAAATAGCACTTGATCTTGGAAATATCTTAAATTATTGGTTCAGAATTGGCACTGAATTGTGGCCTAACCACATGCTTACCAGGTGGCGTCGGCCCATAGCCTAGAGGTAACGAGCTGGTCTCGTAATCTTGCGGCGCAGGTTCGAATCCGCGTAGGGTGTGCGTCCTCGCGATATATTCAGCCCACGTGCGATGGGTGGTGGTCGCACCGCAGCGAAGCACCTTTACGGCGTACAGCGGACAAGTTATTATTATTATTATTAACACCAGATGGCAGGTTTGAGCAAGGTTCTCAGAGAGCTTTCTAGATGTCGATTCTGAAATTCCGCTACCTTAAAACGGTAGGGACAGGTAAACAGTTTTTCTTCCCATCAAAACAAAATTTACCTTCGTTTCTCGAGGCCCCGTGTTTCGCCGAACGATTTTTTCATGGCAACCAATTCTCTCAAATAAGCTTCGTACTATGTTTAACTAGTCCGGAGCCGTGTCCTCGCGAACCGTATCTCTCTTGCGCGCTAGCGTGCGCAGTGGGGTTCAAAAAGAAACCGATGTGAAGTAGCGCGCCAACTGGCAGTGGGAGCGCTCCGTGGCTACTGAGCGCATGTGGAGGCTTGCGTAAACAACTAGCTGCCATTTGCCGCATTTCGCTCTGGCTTTTAGTTGGTGAGCTACAGCTGCTGAAGTGAGCACATGCACAAGCTGTTCGTCCGAGTATTGCCAAAGAGACAATGACAGAGTTTGAAGAACAACGTGTTTGTGTGAAATTTTTCTACAACTTTGGCAAACCTTTAACAACGGTATTTCGATTGCTTTGTCAAGCATAGGAGTAGGATGGCATGAGTCTCACGCAGCGATATAGGTGGTTTAAATGGTTTGTACACGGCAGAATGTCTGTCGAAGACGATCCAAAGTCTGGACAAACTTCCACCTCAACAGACGATGACCAAGTCGAGAGTTCGTGCTGTGATACATGGAAATTGTCGTTCAGCTGTTCGAGAAGTTGCTGCCGAAGTGGGCAGGAGCGTAGAATCATGTCTTTAAATTCTCTTACGTTTGGGGGATGCTGTGTGCAGGAGGAGGCCTGAACTATGGGAATACCAGACTTAGATGGTGCATCATGACAATGCACCGGCTCACGCACCGCTCCTTGTCCGCATATATGTAGCAAAACATCACACTCCGGCTGTGCTTCATCCGCCGTATTCTCCGGATTTAGCCTCTGCACTTTTTCTCATTTCCCAACCTTAAATCCACGTTGTAAGGACCTCATTTCCAAACTACAGAAGCGATTCAGGACAATCCGACAAGCGAATTGCGAGCCATCGTAGGAAGTGCGCTCCAGGATGATTTTCACGAATGTAAACACCGTTGGGAACGGCTTACTGCCAGTAGAGGGGACTGCTTTGAGGGGAAGGTGCTTAAAATGGTGTGCAATGAGGACTAAAGCTGTTATAGCAAAAGTTCAGTTTCATTTTGAACACCCCTCATATGCATCGTACATGTTTTCACTTCTGACTAGGCGGAGAACAACTGTTTCATGTTGCAGGCATGTTGCGGGCATTCTAATGAACTGATCCGTCAGATCTTCGGCTCATCTGGATGTCTAAGAGCGACATTGAGTTATTGCCCTTAGATTTCAGGATGAAGTTTATGTTGATGTGTGCATAAGTGACTGTTCAATCTGCAGAATCTATCGTTTACGTACCATTCATCATAGATTAATTTGTTCATAGCTCCGCTCTGATAGTTGTTCTCCGGCTCACTTATGAATGCATCTGCTAATAACGGTCCTATCTGTAAGTCAGCTACGACTCCGTCTTTTTGCCTATAGATCTTTCCCACAAACTGGGCTTGTACGTTGTTGGAAATAACAGTTTAAGTTGGTCTTTCGAGAGGTCGACATTCAGATAATGCGGACGAACAGCATCGCATAAGTAGCCTTTCGTTTCTTTTAGCCGAACTTGGTGTACCGTGATACAGTACATGACGGATACACTTTCTTTCTATCTAGCTCATTTATCTTATGAAGTATTCGATACTAAAGGTATCTCTGAAGCTGTATCATGATAAAACCTTCCCGACTTGTTCTAGAAGCTTAGCTAATCACTTTGCTATTGATTGATTTGGGGAATTACACATATCTAATATGAATCTCCGTGGAATGGATGTACCACTTTTACTCTTTCTCCTACTTCATCCGTGTCCTCCAAAGCGACAAATCAGTACGTGTGGAACGCTAGAACCAATATTAAATCTCGATGATCCAGCAACATATTTGGGGTTTAAGTATCTACCTCACGCCAAGTCCGCAGGTTCATTGTGGTTTTCGACACCCAGCTTCGCACTCCGAGGTAACTAACAGTGGCCTCTCAGTCAAGTGCCACTAAACTGTTTGCGCCATCGGTAATGCTTAACCTGCATGCCACACTGACGTTTCTCTTTCACTTCATCTGTGCGCTAAGACGAGATTTTGCGTGATCTTATCGACAATTCAATACCGTGGTTCTTCAGAAGAGTGTTCCATCTTCACTCGCAGCAACGCGACACTAGAGCATGTGCACGTGCAACCATAGAAGGGATGCTATTCCCATTGCCCGCCTGAACTTCATCGATAAGCCCCGGCCTGAACGTACTTATTCCGACCTGATAAAAATATGGTCATAGTTGCACAATTATTTCACGCGCTCATTGCCGTCAGAGCCCAGAGAGAAGTGTTCTCTTGAGTAAGCAAAAGTCGTGTTAGTGAATATAGATGAACACATGTCTAATAGAAACGATTTTCAGTTATAGCAATTAGCTCTTTTATGGACTGGGAATAAAAACCCTGGTAAACTAACAGTGCAAATTGTTTTGTGTTAGTTTACTGTCGTTACTATATCACAATCAACGGCAACCGACATTCAACTATTGAAAGACCGACTTCCACGGGCTCGTCCAAACTGCAAGTCAGACTGATTGGACACTACTATAAGATGCGTCACTTGAGGTCTGGTGGTCATTAATGAAGGGGAAGCTTAACTCTCTCTTTACTCGGTTCGTTCCCCTTAAGTATTCAAAGATCGGACTTGTCAAACCGCATTGGTTTGATACGGAATATAGACAGTTAGCGCGACGGCGTCGCAAACTTTGGGATGGATACATCAGCTCGGGTTGTGATGAAGCTTACACAGTGTACAAGAAACAGCGTAACTTATGTAACGCTGCAAATATCAAGAAACGCCGGCAGTTCGAAGAGGAGCTAGCGTCCTCGGCTACAACTGCACCCAAAAGAATATTGGCCTACTTGAAACATCAACTGAAACCTGGGGGCGACCTACCGGTCTTAGACAGCTTAGACGGAAAGACGCTCATTTCACGCGCGGAGCGCGCGGACGCCTTGGCTACGCACTTCCTCACTGTATTTTCCATTAAACCGGCGGTGGTTTCAGTACCGGCACAGGTTGCGCCAGTCTTGCTCAACAGCCTACAATGTGATGCAATCGAAGTGCACCAGCTACTCGTCAACCTCGATGGCGCAAAGCCCCCCGGACCAGACGAACTTCACCCACTAATACTCAAGTCCCTGTCGATTATCATCTCACCAGCCGTGACAAACCTTTTCAATAAATCGCTCTCTGAAGTATCTGTCCCGAACGACTGGAAATGCTCGATAGTTATACCGCTTCCCAAGGGTGGTGATCCGAGTAAACTAGAAAAATATAGACCGATTTGTTTGACTTCGGTATTATCCAAAGTGCTCGAGAAGGTTGTGAGAAAGTGTCTGCTATCGTTCTTCGAATCGATGGACGTATTGACGCCAGCGCAACACGACCTTACGAAACGGCGATCCTGCATCACCAACTTGATGTACGCAAACAACCGGTGGGTGCGAGCTCTCAATGAATAGAAGGATGTTGACGTGGTGTACATCGACTTTCGTAAGGCGTTTGACAGAGTGAACCACTAGGTACTTCTTGGTAGAGGACACACCGAATCCGTGGCACGTTACTTCTGTTGTTACACGAGTTTATTGTGGGACGAAAGTTTAGAGTACAGGTCAATGACTAACTGACAGACTGGTTCCCATTGACTAGTGGTGTGCCTCAAGAACTGTACTTGGGCCAGTATTATTTCTTATTCATATCAAAGATCTTCGGCAGCAGATCCAGTCACCATGTGCCCTGTTTGCAGATGATTTGAAAATCTGGAGAATCATTGAGAACCAGGACGACTGCGCTCGCCTCCAGCGTGACTTAGAGCGACTGTCAACGTGGTCCACTGAAATGCAAAACTCCCTCTTAACGCAAGCAGGTCGGAGTTCATCAGTATCCCCAGACGTCCAGCCACTCGATCATACACCTTGGACGGCCAGTTGCTCCGCTCTAACACATCTGTCAGAGACTTAGGCGTGCTCTTGCGACATGAAATGAGATCGCTAGAAAATACAGAGAAATTGTACCGTGCGGGACTTCGTATGCTCTGGGCATTAAAACACAGTTTCTCCACATGGTCCGAAGAAACCGTCCCTCGTCTATTCACCTCGCTCATTAAACCAATCCTTGAATACGGCGCTCCAGCTTACCATTCGATAACCCAGCGGGAAACTGAAAAGCTGGAGAAAATACAGCATATCGCAACTAGAATGACACCGAGTCTACCAAAGCTTCCGTATGAAAAACGTGAAAGGCTCGGACTCTACACACTGTCCTATGGCCGAGTAAGAATTGACCTTATTATGACCCATCGAGTACTGCACTTAAATCACTTCCCCATACTGCGGCCAATATTTCACCTGCGGGAACCCTGTAACACCCGAGGACACCGTTACAAACTCAGGGTCCCCAACATGAACAAAGTATCACATCAGCTTTGTATCGAACGAAGAATCATAAACTTATGGAATACACTACCTGAAGGATTAATAGAGGCCGATTCTGTGGTGTTTTAAAAGCCGTACCGACTATTATTTCGGAAAACTGTGCTTTTGTGAAACGATGCACATACAATGCCAAAAGAAGACATTGTATGCCCGGAAATAATAACAATAGTACAAATTCCTAACCGAACAAGGATAATCGATTAACGGACCAGACACAACTGCTGATGATTAACAACTAAGTGTTTTTGGTTTTTTTGTAATTCGATAGAGTTGTACAGAAACCTTTCTACTTGCTCCTAAATACAGTCTCAGTCTCACAGTGATCTTGTATCACCGTTACGGAGGAGGTATACACTCACGCAAATGATCCCATCTCTAATATGACGTACATCAAAACACTACTGTAGGCCGAAGTTCACCAATAAATCTAAGGATTTTTGAACACGCATCGATATTCTTTCACTTATACCAATGATCTCGTAATATCCTACTTTCTATTACACTTCCACTATTCTGTTTAATGCGGTTATTCGAAACTTTCAGGGGCCACAACCACGTAATTTGGGACCATCAGCAGCTTTGTTAAGACGGTTGAAAAGTGGGGAAAGCGCATTCAGCCGTCGCTTTTCAATGGATGAATCAGAAGCAGCTAACGGTTACTCACCTTACAATGAGAGTAGCCTGCGTAACAGCAGAAAACGGGGCAGCGCATCCAGTATGCAGAGTGCCCGGGGTTCGATTGACCGTCCAAGGTCATGCTATTCGTCTGCGGATGCCAACTGGCCCACTTACTTTTCTGGAAGTTCATCAACCCGACAAAATCCAACAATGACACACTTTCGAAGGTATGATCAAGTACTTTGAGAGTCTTGCAATCTAATTAGCGGATTCTTTCCACTTTCCTATCAAACTACTTCGCTTGTACAATCTTGCTGCGGGACTTCCGCGTTTATTTTATGAGCATCTGGACGAGCATTTACCCTTTAATCGACAACCCGTGAAACCTGCTCCTTTTTCAGTTATCCGTCACTATCTTTGTGATATGGTTCTGTGAACAAGAGGCGGTAGTTTTAAAATGTCTTGGTTACACTGCATTCATTACACTCAGACAGCCCGGATCATACAGTTGGAATATTGCTTCAGTGGTAATGAAAGCTTACATTAAAAAGTACTTAGGTTTGAGGCGGGTTATAGTGGAAAACAGACGAACGATGGCAGCGTTACTCTCACTCGTGTATCTCCGTCTACTACGTAATTTCACTGACCAACTCAGCGGAATCATGATGGACAATAGTCCTCGCAGTAGTAACATTGTGATTAGGATTTGTAGCACATACAAAAACCTGAAAATCCTCATTTGAATTTGGTGATCTTGTGCCCAATTTATATGTAAACGAACATTTCTTATTTTATCGACTTCGTGTGTGGATAAGCCATACCTAATCAATGGAAATTCTGAACGGCACCTTCATCTTGCATGTGAGCATGACTTAGTCTTCGCACTTGAGCTTCAATGTTCGTACTTTTCAAGGATGTTCTCCAAGAGAAGGCGGCGAGTACCGGTTGGCCCCCTCGGTGTACGGGCGACTGACTTTATCAGACTACGATAACATGTCTCCAGTCCAGCACCACCCTCCAAAAATTTTGGCTCTATTCAGTTACTCCTCTCAATTGGAAATTGAGCAAGCGGTTCTGTCACTTCTTAGGTTACTCTATTGCTTGAGCGGGTGTACATCAGTGATCCATTTTAACTGTATTGATCAAAAGGATGGATTCGACAATATACCCAGATTATACGTGAGCAATTGTACGATGGTTGATCACCGTGGGTATGTTATTCACCTGCGTATACCCTTAGATTTTAACTCATGGCCAATCACTTGAATAGCATTCAATCCTATTGGAGACGGCAGAGTATTACGGACACAACGTTGTAACAATTGCTATCATTGTCTTCAGCAGACTGCGTGGGCCATTCAATCAACCGAAGCCATCTACTACCGGTTAAAGACTTCAAATAACGTTCATAGAAAGAACTGGCGATGGTGAACTTACTGGCGAAACCACTTGGCGTACTTTTCAGATAACATCCTTATTCATAGTAAGCGGAACAAGAACAAATCACCACGATTTTCAGATTTGCACTTCAAAACAGTATTGGAACTGGGTCTTTGCCTTCGAATGAGCAATGGTTGTTAATTACGTTGTACATAGCAATGGTTTTATCCTCCTTGCTCGATCTTTATCTGTGTTCAAACTCTCTTTCATGTCACCTAGTGACTAAAATTGTCAGATTCTGGTACGTTCTATGCTGCCAGACAAATGCCGTCACCTTTCAATGTACCAGAGAAAACGGAACCCCTCCGCCCAGTAACACAATACACTTGTCTGTCTTTCATTTCTTCAGTATACCAGATCATCTAAATCTCCTATCTATGGACGTGCGATCGTCATGTCCAGAAAGACTTTGGGATGATTGCTGGTTGGGGACCACTGACATCCGGACTTCTTTCAATCCGATCAGGGATCGCCCTCGTACATTCACACCAGTTCGACCGCAACCACAAAGACCGATTAATCGGTCAACGGAGCTTATAGACAGACAGTCGGTCGACGTTACCAATTTCACAAGAGGGACGGATTCTCCTCTTTACAGGGATCCAAGACGAAAGAGAGGATCAAGTCCGGCTTGCCCTGGACGTCACTCAACGGCTGAATTGGATTACGCCCAAACACCTAAGGTGGCGTAAGATATTGTTCTGCTGGACGAGCAGACTGTTTCTATTGTTGTCCATAACCGTTCGATGTTCCATCTTTTTTGTATACATAGTCCCACGTTACTCATACAGTGACAGAGTAATATACATCTATTCTCATTCCCACATAAGCCTCTGATAAGCGCTTCACTTAAGTCGAAATGTAAGGCGCATTTGGGAAATCGTTTCTTTGAATTCTTTGACAGGCTACCACCGGTGAAATCTAAGAAGCACCACACTCCCGGGAGTTCCAACTCTAAAAATTTGTGATTCACTTAGATCACCTAGTCTACCCGTAATGTCATCCAGATAGCCGAAAGCAGACAAATTCGTGACTCTAGCTACATCAGCAAAATATTTACGTGGACAGTACAGTTGACATTGGGACCTCCGAAACGTTCTACTATCGAAAATTCAGACATGGCTTGCCAATTTTGATTAGAATAGAAGCTACACTCTTGATAGCAGCTAGACGTACTCCTGAGTAGGGGCGAATCGCTCTGATTGTGTTATGAGTCCGTCGTAGTAACTTCCCTATAAGATAGCCAACCAAGCATCTAGACCGGTGTTTCTCAAAGAGTGATCCGCGGACCCCTTAGAGGTCCGCGGGATTTCCCGACAGGTTATAATTCCGTTAAAAGATTTCGGATGCGATCATTTTATTTCATCGTTCAATGAAAAACCTGCGGATAAAATTTGCTAACTCAAATCTGGCAGTCTACAGTAACCTAGTGATTGGTCAATGTAATGCAAACTCTTTACAAGAAGTAACCTGGGTTTGGCAGAAGCCTAAAATGTCAGTTAACAAAGCTTTCAAATGTTAGAAAGGTAGTGTGGCAATCCTTTGTGATGCAGTTGCTAGAGGCTGAGTTGTTCACACAACTCGGAATTTGTCCCCGGGAGGAGGCGTAAAGTAAGTCATGAGATATGACTCCTTTTTGCTGCCATTTCGCAAATCCTCTTCATCCGAAATCGGCCAACCCCACCCAGGGAAGCCCAGAATTGAAGGATGGGGTTTTCGGTGTTCGACGAATGTGCTGATACGACTTTACGAGTTAATGAAAAACTATCTCTGCGACGTTGCAGCAGGTGACTGTCCTGTTCATTTTATATTATACTTCCTTTGAAGTTCGACTTATCAATCAAATGTGAGGGTAGTGCTGCAATTCTTCTGTTTAATCGGGTTCATTTCAGCATTTGTACATATAACATAAAGATAGGCCATTGGCCGAAGACCAGAACATTGATAAATGTGTCACAAATATTCATCGTTGCATTCTAATATAGTGTTAGTTGGTATCACAAAGTCTCTGTCTGATTTCTGGTGTAAAACGGAAGAGTTGTATCCTGGCACAGCGAAGACGGCTGTCGCTGTGCTTCTCCCATTTGCCACAAATTGTCCGTGTGAAAGTGCATTTTCGCACTTTATTATCGCCTAGTCCCGTGGTTGACAATACCTCAGGGGGTATGCCGTGCGAGCTCCCACTAGAAAGGGGTCCACAGCCCAAAATGTTTGAGAAACGCTGGTCTAGACGACTGTTTCTTCTTACTGGGAAACTTTATTTTTGTGTATTCGCCGTCTCCATCAGGACCTGAACACATGGCCTCTCGCCACTAGGGGCTTACGCCACAAGTCAGCAGTTTGTTCCACGAATACACTGGAGACGAAGATTTGCTGTGCCCTGTAGCGTCGTGATTTGCATGGCAGTGAAAGATGGGTCGCACCGTACCGTAGTTGCACGTCAAACCATTCCGCCCTCTCCTTGAACTAGTGGCGTAAGGTACTGGTTAGTTTTCAAGCTTTTAGTGGTGAGGGATCATCGTTTGGGTTCCTGATAAAGCTGGCCGACGCGCACCACTATAGAGTCCCAACGGCAAAAAACGTCCATATAGCACTTTACCGGATGCGTGGTTTTATGTCTGGCTTGAAAACTGATATGAAGGACTCACTAAAATTAGAGTGAGATGTATTTAGTTTCCAACCAACTACGCTATACGATCAATGTGGCGGTAAGATGTCGCTTATTAGCAACAGCCGAAGGGATCGCCATCTGCCTCCAAAACCCAGACCTATGTGCACAAACACCATTCGTTCACATTCTCTCTCCTCCCTGGCCCCATTACAGTAACCCCTGTTGAGAAACATGCAACTGATATATCACTGACCGTTTTTGAACCAAGCATTTGACCTTGTCCTTTAGATGGCCTAGACCTTTTAACTTTACCCTTTGAACCTTACTCTTGTCTGATGTTTTAACTCATTTTATTCGTATCAGTTGTGGTGTACCAGCCTGACGATATCCAGTGAAAACGAGCTTGTTTGCTGACTCTTGTTCTAATGTGTAGTTCGCTGCAATAATTTTCGTATTTCATCCTACCGTTGACACAAGATCAATCCACAGAGTCCAAAAATTCACGCCGAAAGCACTTGGGTCCATAATCTAGATGGTATATCGTTGTGAAAGCAAAGCCGAAAGAAAGTTCGTATTCACAACATACAGTACATTTTGCCGTTTTATGGGACTTTCATTGACAGTTCTTTCATGAAGAACACCGATGGTCATCTAATCGGGCTTTAGAACCGTTCAGCTGCTATATACAAGGGTCGCAAAATTAATGGCTGCTATCTTACAATTCTCTACATGAGTCGAAGATAGTAAGCGTACTTCTAGTTGTATCGATCTTCCCGGGAATCACTTAATAGAAAGCTAGTGCTTTTAGGCCTTAACAATGTTCAAAACCTGACCGCCACTCTTACTATTAAAGCTTGTGGCCTCTGAGTCCTGATGGATAATCGTGCCGTCGACGTCAACTTCATCCTACACGTTGTTGGTATTCATTTCGAAAGTGTGGGTTTCTCTTTAGAACATCTGGCCGCGCTCCCATGCGCTAAATTCTAGTGAGTTTAACTGACGCTTCGCATCGTGGTTTGGTGGTTCTGGTCCCTCATGTGTCGGGAAGACAAATGCGCCCCATCTCAAGGTCCCAATGTGTTTAGGTGGCGCTTTCACTGCACTTTGGACGTTCACTGGCAGTCTAACACGAGATTGCACTTGATCTAAATGGAACCTATCAGTTCTTCCATATAAACCATCTTTTAGCCATGAAGCAATTGCAACGGTGTGCACAGGTACTGATTTCATTTTCTCGTCCACCTTGGAAAGTGACTTACTTAACCCTACTCAAAGTGGCAGTTGCATGGACATGGTCCATTGTTCGGCTTCGCGCCTCTTTCACGGGTATCTGCTAACCCTATTTAGCGGATGCTTTCAAAAAGCATGCTAAACGTAGGCGCTGAGGGATAGCAATTATGAGCAATAGCAATTACGCTTGTTTCAGTTGTCTAGCGGAAGACATTCTAGTAATGCGCCCAACATTGCTCTGTACGACATTCTGTTTACCTTTCTTACGGGCCGAAGGTCGCGGAATTTCGCGACCTGAATCACTGTTTCGTGTTCTGTGATAGAGCTGACCATACCAACAATATCAACACACATAATTCGTACTGTACGGAAAAATGTATACATACGCGGCTCGAAGAACTGGTATACTTGCTAGCCATTACTCTAAAGAACCTTTGGTGAAAGATCTCTTTGTTCAACTCCATTGCTCCAATCATACCTTCGTGGAAAATACGAGTACACAGTACAGTTGTGGTAGCTGTCGCTTACGGCTCACGCCTCATCCAGGACAGTTTCCAACACCGGCCAAGTCAGCAACTTAGTGAGGCCACCAGCTAGACAAGATGGCCTTAACCACGGACGCATAAATGCAGTGTTGCTGCTTCTAGTTATACTGGAGATAGACGAAATGCGCACTGTTAACCATTCTCCCAAGGTCAAAACGGCCGTCCAATGCGTTTCCACACGTGTACTAACTGAGTCCAAATGGGATGAACTACAGCTTACTTGTCTATGCCGAATAAACCGATTTTCCTTTCAGAGCCGCATTTTGTGACGATTACGGTTTAGCCCCAAAATAACACGGGTCAACAATTGTTTTTGTGTCAATGATAGTATAGTGATTTTAGGGTTATTTCGTGTCCCTGATTTTGTATCTGACCTCGGTTTTGCTAGATTGGCTCTACAGTTTGAGATACGGTGCATCTACTAGAAGGTATAATCTAATAGCAAACACGAAAATGTTCAGTCTGAAAATAATACAGAAACGGTTTCTCGCACTGCCAATGCAGAGGCAGCGAATATCTGATTCTCACATATGCACAATAAGGAAAGAAATAATCTATTAGCTGATACAATGATAGTTAATGCTTAAACACTGCTGTTGGCACTTTTCGTTTCCATGTGGTTCAGCTGGAAAGTCACAGGATATTCCAGCAATAGTCCGCCAACATGTGTCATCTTCACTCTTCTTCCATCACTTTATTGTCCTGATGGAACCCCTCAAATTGTTTCTTGCTTAATTCACCATTATTACTCAGGAATCTTTCTGTTGCTTCGGAGAAAAAAGGACTCTGCTCATGTTATGACCCAGTGTATCAAGAGTTGTAAGCAAATTCTTCAACATTTCTTGATAGTTGCTTGTGTTTTGGTTATTAAGGAGACTCCGGACAACAGAACCAACACCATCCGAAGAGGTTCATAATCATCACTATACACGTCAGCTAGAGGTGGAAAGCTCCTCAGCTAATGTGCCGCAATAAAAAAGGAAAAGGAGAATAAATACAACAGTTGCATGACACCTGAGCTACCAGCATCGTTCCGGCAAGCTACCAGACTGTTACTAGGCCAAAAGCAAAATTATTATGCTTTACGCTACGAAATGAGATCGTAGATGGAGGGGTGGCTAAAAGGGACGAGAGGGACAAAGAAACTCACAGCAGGAACGCCACTGCGATCGGCTCCTAGCCATATCAACAAGTGCATTCAACCAAACGTGTTCATCATCTTTCGGACCCCAATCAGGGAGCAGTGACACTCCAAACGAGGCCAGCTCCGAAGTGAGGGCCTTCATTCCTCTCGACCATG